GCCTGTTGTGCGCCAAGTGCAGCTTCTCCAGCCGCGCCCAGGCACAGGGCTTCTCGCTGAGGTCCAGGACGCCGATGCGGTTGTGGCTGAACAGCAGCTCCCTCAGGTTCTGGGACTTCCAGCGCGCCGGGCCCGGCAGGCTCTGGATCTCATTGCTGCTCATGTCCAGGGACCGCAGACTGGCGCAGGCCGCCGACAGAGGCCAGTGAGTGGCCGGCACACGGCCGCCTCGGCCTCCTCCCACTGCGGGAGCGCGGGCCCAGCACCCGCCCGGGGCCAGCCGGCCAGGCCACTCACTGCGGGAGGCCGAGCAGGGCGTCCGGGACGCAGGAGAACCTGTTCTGGGCCAGTCTCACGCTCGTCAGGGCGCCGGGCAGGGCCGGCAGGGCAGCTGGGGACGGAGACGGCAGCTCAGGCCTCCGGGCCCACCCCAAGGGGCCGCCTGCCCTGACGCCCCCAGCCAGCCCACACAGCGGCCCTGCCCACGGCTGCCCAGGCCACAGCCGAAGGTGTGGACACAAGCCAGGGCGTCCAGCACTTCCGCCGAGGGCGGTGAGGACGCCCCTGGGCCGGCTGGGCCGTGAGACCGCGGGCCGAGGGGGCACTGGGGCCCCAGAAAGCCCCAGCGCCCGAGGCCTGTCCTGCAGACGGCGGGGCTGTCACCGAGGGACGGTGTGACCCTGACGGCAGGCGGGGCCACGGGCAGGTCCGGGGCACCGGGGAGCTGAGCCCCACCCTGCGCAGCAGAAGGCCCAGAGGCCCGGAAGCACCCCCCCCCCCGCGTTCGCAAGGCTGAAGACCCGCTGTGCCCAGTGCGCGGGGCAGGCCGGCCCTGCCCGGGGCCCAGCGCAGCGCGGAAAGGCTCTGCCCACACGGGTGTGGGGGGCGCCACAGCGGGGTTCGGGGAGCAGACTCCGTGGTGGGGTGGGCGGCTCGAGTCTGCACAGCCAGGGCGACTGCGTGGGTGGGCTCTTAAAGACATCCAGGGGCCCCAAATTGCCGAGGAGCCTCAGGAGAAGCAGCACCCCCTCCTGGGCGGGCTGGGCAGGCCAGGGACCGCAGCCCAGGGCAGCTGGAGTGTCCCTGGCCTGGACTGCCAGAGCCTTCACTGAGTTTTCAGTTTTAATGTTGAAAAGGAGGTTTTCAGCAGGCTGGAATGGCAGGGACGGCGGGCAGAGGCCGCGCCCAGACC